AATGTCAATATTAATAATGAAGAATTAATAATTGAGATCATTGTTTTCTATCATTGTCTCCAAACAATTTTTATTGAGAACGAATGAAGTGTGGCTGTGTGGCTACTGGCTAGGGAGGACGGAGGAGATATGTTTTTTCTTGATAAATGTAATTGCGGGAGCAGGAGAGCCAAAATTTCATAATTGTGGAGCCATCTTTTTTTGGAGGCAAGATTTAGAATTGTGGAGCCAAATTTCTTTGGAGTCAAAATTTGGAATTTTGGAGCCATCTAATTCTGGAGGCAAATTTTGGGATTGTGGAGCCAAACTTTTTTTAGTCAAACTTTGGAATTGTGGAGCGGGAAACAAATGTGAGAGACCCGAATTGTTGTCCACTAATTTTTTGTTTGCAAAAATAATGGAATTCCAAATTTAACGAGAATTATAAATACTTAGAACCGAGCTGTAAGTGTTTATTGGATGTCAATTATTGAGTTGTGTGATCAAAAGGAAGATAAATTACATCGATTATAAATACTCTTTTTATTAGTAAGGGAGCTGAAATTTATTGTCTTATGATATGAAATTCTTTTTTATTTTCAGTCTTTCTTTATTTTTAAGAAAATTTGCAAAAGTAAATTATGATATTGTCACGGTAATTAATTGTGACTAAACAATTAATCACGGAAAATGAAAACTAAAAAACTTGAAATCTATTCCCGTGATTAGAACTATATAATCAATTACTGTAATTTTTCCTGTGACTAGTAGTATACGTCTTAGTACGGGAAAACTTACCGTGAATAAGTTACTGTGACTGAAAATCAGTTTTCCTGTAATGAAGTGGGAAAGTTTGGTTCTTTTGATTATGAAAATGAAATAAGTATAAAGTATATGGTCAGGGTAGGGTGTATATGGTTAGTGTATAAGAATTGATGGTTTTGACGGTTCTAAGTTTTTTATTAACATATGTTCACTTGAAGTCATTTGAAGTCTTTAACGGCAGGAGATCCCTTTTCAATTTATGTTTATGGTACGTGGCTACGGTACAAGGTATGTGGTGTAAAGTATAGGATATATGGTTAGGATATAACAATTAGCAAATATCACTTTTTATCTATGTTTTGAAAATCAAAGTATGAATTTCACTTTTAAATTAACTATACTAACAAAATCATAACTCAAGGACATATGGTTAGAGTATAGGGTATGTGGGTAGTGTATAATGTATTGATGAGCCAACAATTGTACTAAACTTGATAAGTAATTTTTGACGTTTCATTGTTTAGGGTATAAAATATATAGTCAGGGTATAGGGCATAAGGTACAGATGGTTTAGAGTGTATATAGTTAGGGTATAATGTAGTGATGGTTTTGACGGTTCTAAATTTTTTAATAACATATGTTCACTTGAAGTCATTTAAAATATTTAACATCAAGAGATCCCTTTTTAATTTATGTTTATGGTACGTGGTTAGGATACAGGGTATATGGTATATGGTGTAGAGTATAGGATATATGGTTACGGCAAATATCACTTTTTTATCTATGTTTTGAAAATAAAAGTATGAATTTCACTTCAAATTAACTATACTACCAAATCACAACTCATAGGGATATATGGTTAGGGTATAGGGTATGTTGTTAGTGTATAATATATTGATGGTTTAGGGTGTACGATCAACAACATATATTAACTTAATATTGTCGATTGAGAGTAAGGCTAAGTGTATATGATATATGTTATTGAGTAAATTATGATTGAAGTAACAACAATTTTACATGGTTATTCTAAACGAGATATTATAATCCAATTACTACTGAAATAATATTAAAATACTAAATAACATTAATGGTGTCTTTTGGTTGCAAATGTTGATAAAACCATTACTATTAGCTAGTGGACTTTACCAATTATGATTAATTACATAACAAGTTTGCAAGTCATATAAATTGATTAAACATTTTGACTAGTTTTTTTAAAATTAAGTATATATAAGAGGTAGAAAGAAATTGGTTAAAAATTGACAAAATTAAATATTTTAAATTAGTGTAATAAAATGTGTAAGTTGGTAACAAGTAACAAGTAAGGAGTAAGTTACTCGATGCGCTGACCCGAACAACCCGCAACCCGATCCGCCCGCAACCCGCCCGACTCAAACCCAATGAACCCGTAACCCGATTTGTCCGCAACCCGATTGAACCCGAACCCGATGAACCCGCAACCCGACTAACCCGCAACCCGTTTGAACCCGAACCCGATGAACCCGAACCCCATAAACCCGCAACCCGATGAACCCGCAACCCGTTTGAACCCGAACCCGATTGAACCCAGCCCGAACCCGCCCGAACCCGCCCGATTGACACCTATAGTTGTGGCTATAATTTCTCGCTGCTTAATAGTTCTAACTAATATACTGTATTTACCCTAAAAATTATAATAGAGAATTTTTTATAATGGTAAAATAAATTTGTTTACAAACGACGTGTTGGTTTTTTTTACACGGGGAGAAGTGGAGGTAGGGGTGGAGGGTGGGAGGCGGAGGAAGGAGGACCGGTGGAGTAACTATTATGTACAATAGTTACCATAAGTCCATAACACACCTAATGATTATGTTTCACCCTATCTGCTCCCTTCCTCATTGCCTAATCATTCATCTTCGACGTTCATCTTCACTCTGTCGACTTCAAACCACAACTGCAATGTAATCCTTTTCAATATGATTTCTCTCAATAGATCTGAGTATTTGAAGGCAGCTTCACGTGATGTCCGATCGATTACACATTTACACAACAACATGGTGCGTTAGGGACTAGACGAGTTATCTTCTATTATTCTGTCATCACCATCAAACGTAAAGATCTATCCATACTAACTTATGCTCTCTTCCCACATTTGTATTTATTTTTTCTTCACCAATCTGTTAACGGATATCGAAGTTGCAAAGGAGATATTCGAAGGGATCCGTTTAGGAGCTGGGACTTGGCGGATGAACGGGGGGAGAGAGGTTTTGGTGGGTGTTGTAGCAGAGGGAGAAAAGTTTTGTGAGGAGGTAGCATTGAGACAGCGAGGAAGCATCTGGAGATGGTTCTCAGATTTGTTGGTAATTGATATCTCGGTGACAGAGCTCGCCAAGGCACTATGTGCAATCTGCGTAGATCCTTGATAACAAGTTGATCGTGAAATCTCTTTCATAAGCTCCTTCACAGTGGTTGATGTGTCATGGTCGATTCTAATTTTGGTCTCGTTTGAGGACTGTAATCCCTAATTTGAAAGAGAGTGATGACAAGGATGGGTGGTAAATCCCGTTCGAGTGTCTCCTTTGATGAAGCACACAAACACTATGGCCTAACTATTCTTAATATTTTCCTCCACCAAAGAAGAGTAGATGATGACATGAAGTTCTTGTTCAAACTTCAGAGCGATTTTCAGAGCGAGAGATTACAGGAAGAACGGTTGTTCACCGATCAGTATTCGAGAGAAGTAATGGAAGAGGAAATCTGCTATCCATGGAGGCAAGCAAACTAATTGTGGGGGAAAGAATTTAAATGAAATCAGGGATTACATTTGAGATAAGGGGAACGCACTACAAAAATACAAATTCAAAAATGTTTAAGTTGATGTGCAAAAAAATAATAAGTTAAGTGACGCATTATGGTCAATATGCTAACCGTTGATCATTCGAAGTTAACGAAAACTAAAATTTTGGGACATAATTGTCACATTGAAAGCATAGGAACAGGATTGACACAAAGCGTAAGCTACTGGCCTATTTTTGATATTAGGCCAAAAAAAAATATTAGGAAGCATAAAATTACTACATATTTTATACCCAGGCAATTATAGCTAGACATGCAGGATTAGTAGACGTACGTCGTTGCACCACTGAAATTGCTAGCCGGCAGGCAACAACGCTTAAAGACAAACACAAGAGATTGTAAAAAATAGATCAGATAAGTTACGCGGTCTTCCCCTCTACTCTTCGCTGAGCCAGAGCCTCCTCCTGTTACACAGGCCCGTTCTGTTCTGGCTTCGAGTGTTATTGGCTCGACCAAGGGTCTGTTAGGGTGTTGTGAGGTTGTGCTTGACCCTACCTGTTCCTCTTTTTGGTAGGTTCCTCGCACGATGTCCCACGTGGTTAATGAGCAAATTGTCCAATTCTCCCCCGAGGAGGTACAGTCAACAAGGTCCTGGGCATCGCACACTCTCCACTCTCCTGGGGAGATTTTTCACTAATGATCCGATTTCAACCTTGGAGCTGCGGGATGGATTGCTTGATGCATGGAAGTTACGTGGACAGGTCAAAGTCTTGAAAACCAAGTATGGTTTGTTTGAGATCATCCTGCCGAATGAGGAAGCAAAGAAGTGGGCTTTAGCTCGTAGCCCTTGGATTATCAAAGACAAGTTGCTAACGCTTCGCTCCTGGGCTCCGACCATCACCAAGCAAAATTTTGAGGAGATGGCTCTGGCTCCTTTTCGGCTCCAACTTTGGGGAGTAAAGGAGGAGTTTCGCACTAAACTCTTTGGTCAGAAAATGATTGCCTCTACTGTAGGCCAGGTGCTCGACTCCAACATTTTTGCTTGTAACGAGATGAGCGAGCACTTTATTAAAGTTCGGGCGGTGATCGATTTTGCCAAGCCCCTTCGATCCCAAGTGATGGCGGTTAATGAGGAAACGGATAGCTTTTGGGTGAGCCTCAAATATGAACGTTTACCCAAATTCTGTTTCCATTGTGGCCGGATAGGCCATGCTCGGCGCGATTGTGTCTTTGACCCGCCAAAAGGGAAAGAACGTTTCGGTCCTCACATGATGACCAAGAAACTGGGACGGCAAGTTTATGATGAGGATGATCAGTCGATGGTGTTTGGGGGCTCGAGGAGTTCGGTGTGGGTAAATCGGCAGCCGCGCTTGCAGGGTGCTGAGGCTGGGCGGAAGGAGAACAATAAGGCTGGGCGTTTCCATATGAACGGCCAGGTGGGTCGGCAGAGAGAGAAACAAATCCCCGCTGGTTGAGAAAGCATGGATCCTCGTCCGGAAGATATGCAGGTGGATGTGGAGCTGGTGCGATCGCCGGTGCGGCGCCAGAGCCCGAAAGGGTTTGTCATTAACAGGCCTCCCAAAGTTAATTTTTGTGGAGGTGGGAAACAAAAGCTGGAGGCGTCTATAAAGGAGACTTCCAACCCGGTTTTAGGAGGTAAGAAGGGAGGACGGCAGCCTCAAAACCCGGTGCGTGCGGGTCGGGGATCGCCTGCTCCCGCAGCTGTGGCTCCGGCAGGTGGTATCGCGGAGCAGGCCCGGCGTCGTCGACTCATCCTTGAGGACGACTTAGATGATGACATGGTGGATTTGCCCCACCCAAAGGTGCAGGCCAGTCCTCGCGGCCAGCCGACGAGGCAGGACGCCCAGCCTAGCTCTTACCCGGTGCGGGAATCGGGAGGCCTGAGTACCGGGACTGTGAAACCGGTGAAAAGGCGACTGCGTCGGAATGCATCCAAGGCCGCGGCTTCGGATGTGGGTGGTGTAGCTGTTCCTGCCCCACGGCTAGTCGATGCCCCTCGGAAGTCTCGCCAGGTTCGTGTGGGCCATGGGAAGGAGTTCCATGAGCAGGGGGTTGAAACTACTGTGCCCCTTCCAACTTCCCAAAACGAAGATGTCTCTGCTGGTGAGATTGCTGATGAGATGGCTAGCGGGGCAAGCGAGGCTGGGGTAGACGACCCCCTCGGTGCAGATGCGGCGGTGCAGAGAGAGAATGGCTTGCCCGTGCCTAGCGATTCGGAGGGTTCGGGGATGGGTACTGATACCCATTGCTTTGAAATCAGAAAACGTGATCCGGGTCCCACCTCGGTTGGAACTGGTCGGGGAATCTCGGGGAAGGTCTCCCAAGTTGTAGCGGCTTTCGAGACTGGGTTGGCTATTGATCAAGGCAAAGTGACAACGGTTATGATTGAAGGCGAGGGAGTTCGATCGATTTCGGAGCATATAGGTGTGCATGGGGAGGGGGCTGAGGTGGGCGATGAGTATGGGTCAAATTTGACCAACCCTGTGTTTAGTGCCCATAAGCGCTCGTTGGCTTCGGTCGAGGGTGAAGTGGGCTCCCCTCCCACTCCAAAGAAGTACTTTATCGAAGTTGCTAATGTGTTTGAGAAGGAGAAGGTGGAGGAAGCCAGCCTCGAATGGCCCCAGCCTGATAAATGAAGCTTCTGTCCTGGAATGTGCGGGGAATTGGGCCATCCCTCACATTCCAAACGGTTGCAGGTCTAGTGCGTTCGAATAAACCGGATCTCGTATTTTTCTCGGAAACTCGATCGAGTCGGCGTGTTGTTTCCCGTCGTATGCGGGGTTTAGGTTTTGATCTTTCTCAGTGTTTTTTTGTGGATGCAATTGATTCGTCTGGTGGTTTAGTAGTAGCGTGGTCCCCCGGAGTTGATGCTTCGGTGTTTTACCATTCCAAAGTATTTGTTCCCAAATTAATGAAGTGGATTTTTCTTATATTGTGATTTTTGTTTATATTAGTTGTCGTTCTGATGTTCGTACCGGTCAATTGGCTCACATTCGTGAATTATGCTCCTCCCTTACTCTTCCCTATGTGATCATTGGAGATTTCAACACTACGCTTCATATGGGTGAAAAAGATGGTGGCAATCCATGGAATGGTGCCCATTCGATAAGTTTGAGGGATTTTATCCAAGACTTGGGTCTTCATGATCCTGGCTTCCTTGGTGAGCCGTTCACTTGGACTAATCGGAGGATGGGAGTAGCTTGTATTCGTGAAAGATTGGATAGGGCCCTATGCTCTCAGAGTTGGGTGGACATGTTCCCCGAGACCTTGGTCAAGCATTTCACGGACCAGGGTTCTGACCATCGCGCTCTCTTGCTCTCGGACAAACCCTATGCTCGAAATAGCAGACCCCTTTTCCGGTTTGATGCCCGGTGGGCGGATAATCCGGAAGTACGGGCTATGGTTTGCTATGTCTGGCAGGAGGATATTCAGGGGACACCTATGTTGTCTTTGGGAGCGCCTCAAGAGACTCCGCCATTTGTTATATGACTGGAGTAGGGCAGGCACCACCAACTCGTTGCGGAATATCAGAACCCTTCAGAGTGAAATTGAGAGGGTGAAACTTATCCAACCTATTAATTGGGACGAAGTTAGAAGTCTAGAGATGGAATTGAATCGCCAGTGGAAGGCGGAGGAGGTGTACTGGCAGCAGAAGTCTAGGGTTTATTGGCTGAAGAAGGGTGATAAAAATACGGCTTACTTTCATACAGTGACCAGAGTTCGACGTAAAAGAAACTTTGTGGAGGGCCTTCGTAGGGAGACTGGGGAATGGGTTACGGAGGAAAAGGACAAAAGCGAATATTGCAACATCCTTTTACCAGCATCTCTTCACCACGGAGAATCAGGTTGATAACATGGCTGAGCGCATTGCGGATCTACCCATTGCTCGGAATGTAACTCCTGAGATGAATGCTAGCTAACGGCTGAAGTCCTCCCTAGTGAAGTTCGTAAAACGGTGTTTGCAATGGGCTCAAAACAGGCGCCTGGCTCGGATGGCTTCACTGGCAAGTTCTTCAAAACCTTCTGGGATGTTGTGGGACCTTCGGTGGTGGACGCGGTGTGTTCGTTCTTTACGACAAGTCGACTACTCCGTAGTTTCAATCACACTTGGCTTACCCTGATTTCGAAGGTGGATAAGGTGGAGTCTATGTGACAATTACGTCCGATTAGCCTTTGCCAGTTTGTTTATAAAGTTATTACTAAAATCATGGCCGAGCGGCTGGCTTGTTTCTTGCCTCAGAATTTTTCTGAGGGGCAGAATGCGTTTATCCGAGACCGGCAGATTGTCGAGAATATACTCTTGGGGCATGAGTTAATGCATTATTTAAAAATCAAAACACGGGGTAAGAAAGGGTACATGGCTCTAAAGGTTGACATGGAAAAGGCCTATGATAGAGTCGAATGGTCCTTTCTTCTAGCTGTTTTGGAAAAAAATGGGCTTTAACTCAACTTGGAGAGGGTGGATTCATGAATGTCTCCGGTCTGCTTCTTTCACTGTCCTCATGAATGGTACCCCCTCAGGTTATTTCACCTCTTCAAGAGGGTTACGGCAGGGAAACCCTTTATCCCCTCTCTTATTCGTGCTGTGTACTGAGGGCTTTGCGACGCTCCTGCGCAAAGCTATTCTGGAGGACAGGTTGGGAGGGGTTAAGGTGGCCCCGCGTGCACCCCGGATCTCTCATTTATTCTTCGCGGATGATTCTTATCTTTTTCTGAGAGGTACTCTCCAGGAATATGAAAATTTGATAGAAGTTATGAATGACTATGAGGAATTGAGTGGCCAACGGGTGAATTTGGAGAAGTTTGCTGTTTGTTTTAGCCGGAATGTTGTTCGCGCGGACCAGGAGTTTTTTGCTGAAATTTTGGGGGTGGGGGCAATGGGGGTGCATGACAAATACTTTGGGCTACCCACTCTGATTGCGCGTTCCAAAATGGCAACTTTTAGGTACCTGGAGGAGAAGCTGTTAGAGCGTCTGCAGGGTTGGAAACAGAAAGCCTTATCCTGGGCGGCTAAGGAGACTTTGATTAAATCAATTGCTCTGGCTCTACCACTGCATGTGATGTCTTGCTTCAAGCTACCACTTTCTTTGTGTCGTCTTTTGGACAGACATGTAGCCCGCTTCTGGTGGGGGGTAACAGAGGAACATTTCCGTATTCGCTGGATGTCCTGGCGGAATATGTGCCGGAGTAAGCACGATGGGGGGTTGGGATTTCGTCGCTTTGAGCAATTTAATCAGGCGTTATTAGCTAAGGTTGGGTGGCGTATCCTGACGGACCCCCAATTCCTGTTGGCGCAAGTTTATAAGAGCAAGTATTTTCCAACAAGCACTTTCCTTGAAGCGACGGCTCGGTCCCGCCCCTCGTGGGGGGTGGCAGAGTATCCTGTATGGTCGAGAGTTATTGGAAAAGGGTTTGAGATGGCAAATTGGGAATGGTCGGTCTGCGTCGCTTCTACATTCTAATTGGATTTCGGCTCTTCAGTTTGATCCTCCTAGGTTTAACCCTCGAGTTCTACCGGCGGGAGGAGAGCTGACTGTTGATGAGGTAATCTGTCGGGGGGGGGGGGGAGGGTGGAGTGACCAGAAGCTTAGCCAGTGGTTTGACCCACCGACCTGCTGTGCCATTAAGACTATACCTCTCCCGCGGCGGCCGGTAGAGGATAGGCTTATTTGGCATGCCTCCCCGGATGGGGTGTTCTCGGTGAAGTCTGCCTACCATTTAGCAGTCTCCCTTGAGAAGCGAAGGGGGAGTTGGAAGTCGACGGTTAGTTGGATGGATCGATCGAGCTGGATTCGTGTATGGGAAGCCGATATTCTTCCCAAGTTGAAGGTCTTTCTCTCGCAGATTCTTAACCGGATCCTGCCTACTACTGAGGCTCTTATTGAGAAACAGGCCCCTGTGAGTCCTAGATGCCCGGTGTGTTGGGCAAGTTCGGAAACTATGTAACACCTTTTTCTTGATTGCCCTGTTGCGAGAGCCCTGTGGGATTATTCTTGTCTGGCTCACTTAGGTGAGGGGCTTCCTCGTCATACGTTCCCTTTGTTCCTTAAAAGGCTACTGAAGTTGATTTCCCAACCTAATGTTATTATGGCTGTCGTGGCTATCCTCTGGAGGATTTGGCGATCGCGTAACTGGGTTGTCTTTGAGGGCAAGCAGTTTGGGTTTCCGGCCCTTATGCGCCAGTTTCATCAGCAGTATGAGGAGTGGGTCCGGTTGCCTGCGGATAGAGGCCTTTCTCGTGGTTGGCAAGAGCAGACCCACCAAGATCGAGTTAGCGTGGACGGGGTTGTTTGCATGTGGGATGGGGCTGTTCGGGCTGGGTCGCACTCGGCTGGTGGTTTAGTTATTCTGACCCCGGATCGGGAGGTTTTAATGGCAAGGGGGTTGCAGTTTCCGTGGTTTGATGATCCTTTGGTTGTAGAGTTGGTTACTCTTCGTGAAGCTGTTCTATGGTGTCCATCGCTCGGATTTACGGAGGTCAACTTTGAAGGTGATGCACAAGTTATCATTGATAAAATCAACAAGGCGGATTCTAGAGATAGTCGGGTAGGGGCTGTGTTGGAGGAACTCATTATGATTTTTGATAGTAGCCCTGGGTTTAGTGTTAGATTTGTTGGTCGGCGTTGCAATAGGGTAGCCCATTTGGTGGCTAGAAAGGCCCTCTCTTTGCACCCGACTATGAGTCGTTCTTTTGATTTCCAGGCCTGGCTGGTCTCCAGGATGTAACTTTCTGTTTTGATCGATACAAGATTATCTTTTGTAAAAAAAAAAAAAAAGTTAGTGTGTTAACTAATAACTACGAGTCATTTTCTCAGCTCAATCTCCTCCCAATTGGTCCCTAACCTAGGCGGAGGAAATAAGACCAAGTACTATGTCTTTTTCATGGAGAGTTTTGATACCTAAATTAAGTTTTGGCGGACAATTAGTGATGCAACAGAGACGAAACAACAACAACACACAACAACAACAACAACAACAATAATGCAGAGGTGACAATTCCAATGTTGAGCTTAATTAAAACAAAAGAAGACCATTCTAAAGCTGACTTAAGTTGTATGATACAAGGAGACATATAGCTACATAACCAAACTTTTGTTTTAGAGTTTTGAATTGTTGGGTAAATTTAAGTCTAATCCTAAGCACTGGCATACTCTTGAATTTATTAGGGTCACAACTAAATTTTGAGATTAGTACATGATAATGATTCTAAACGATGCACAACTCTGCATGTGTGTTGATCGATTCACGTAATACAGTGATAAAATGTGTCGATCTCACTAGAACTAGAAATTATTATTAATTATTCAAATTGAAACCCTTTAAGCGAAAAATAATTCGATTTTTCAATTTTGATTGAGGAATGAAATTAATTCAAAAAAATTATAATTGATAAAATAATTGATTCACCAAGAAAAAGAACAGTTTTACTAGAAATTCAATATGGAAATGCTCAAGGGAATATTTTGGAATTCGATAAAATTATATGTTATTACAGTGTCTTTTAATCATTTTATACTCGTAATTATACACCCAAGATAATATCTAAATTATAACTCTCATCGCTAGGACTCATCACGTATTATCCAAAAATCCATATTCACTACTACTCTCGCAATCAAGAAAAATTATTAAATAT